GGTGGAGATCCGGGTTCGAGTCCCGGCAAATGCATTTTTTGTTTTTTATTTTCAATTAACATTTTTAATTAAATAATAATTAATTTTTATTATAAATTATAGTAACTAATTAATTTATGATAAATTAAAATGATTTCATTTATTAATTGTATAATCAATATAAAAAAAAGTAAATTGTATTAACAAATATAATACAACAAATTAATAACAAAATAACAAAATTAAAATAATTAAACAGTTAAAAAAGTATCCAAGAAATAGTTACGATTTTAGTTAACTTTTTTATATATAACAACCTTGGTGACAAATTTTAGTATTTTAATAATTCACCAAATCGTTTTGTTCATCAAGTTAAAACTTCATTAACAAGACAAAACTATTTTCTTATAATACTTAGTTATACAAGAATAAGATATAAACCAAGTTATTCTAACTTTGTTTTTAATGATTATAACATACAACCAGAATAATAAGCTCGAATTACTTGAGGTACTGAGAGATCCACTTAAAACCTTCTGTATATCCCTGTTTGTTGACGATCGACGTCATGAAGACTTCGATTGGTCGAATCCCTTCACATGGTACATTTCCTTTTCCAGTAGTATGAGTCAAACCCATAGCATCTCTGAGTTGTTGTTCTGAGACTGCTCCCGGCATATCGATTTTGTTACCAAAAATGAGGAATGGGGTTGTTTGCAAGAATGGGTCTTTTAAGAGTGCGTCGAGTTCCATCTTTGAGTCTGTAAATCTCTCCGGAGCAGCACAGTCGACAATGAAAACTACTGCGTCGACTTCAGTATAATACTGTTGCCAGACTTTACGAGCTGGTGTATGTCCTCCTAAGTCATAAGTGTTGAACTTGATGTTGCCCATCACTAACTCTTCCATGGTCGGTTGCTGTGTTGGGATGTGTTGTGAGACCTTCCCGTCTTTTAATAAGTGGAGAAGTGTAGTCTTCCCAGCATAGTCCAAGCCTAAGAACAACATTTTACCTGATTTGTAAGCAAGACCAAGCTCCGCTAATAAATTCCAGAACCACTCCCAAATCCACATGTGATTTTAAAGTTCCAGTCACAAGGGTTTTTTTTAGATGGCACTGAGAATAGATTAATGTAATAGTGTGCTACTATTATCGTGGATTATAGTGGGATGTAACTCTTTTTGATTGGTATTAATTTAGTAAGAAATGTTGTTTAAAGTACGGGTTTTATTCACTTTTTTTTTAATAAAAGTGTTAAATTAGTTATTAGCATTTGTAACAAAATTATTAAAGTTGTTTAAACTTGGGTGAACTGTGATTTTAGTAATAATTGTTAATTAAAATATAGTATAATTATATATTACATAATGTTATATTTAATTTAATCAATAGAATTTATTATTACAATATTATAAATAATAATTTATATTAAAAAAATCGGGTTTGATTATTTTTTAATAATAAATTATAGTATATTATTTAATTATTTATATTTTATAAAAATATAGAATTAAAATATACTTACTAAAAATAATAACTATAAATACAAATTATTGTTATTTTATTTATAAATATAGTTTAAATAACTATTTTATGAAATAATTATGTTTTTTGTTTGTGTTGTATTTATTTTTTAAAAATTTTGAAAAAAATAATTTAAGTCTATTCAAAGAAGAGGAGACAACAACGATAATTCTCATTGTGGCTTTAATGATAGAGCTCGTTTTTTAAAGAGAAAGTTGGTGAGTTAATACCATTTGAGGTTCTACATGTCAGTTGATGAGATGACAGCTGTAAATCTAGTCACTGTAGGAATTAATATATATTGGCTACTGGTAATACCAAGTGGCAAAACTTTATGGAAAATTGGATGAGAAGAATAAATAATCAAAACGATGTTAAATTTATGGTATTCTATGAAGTTGTTGGTTACATTGAAAATGTGGTGAAGTTGGTGAGCAATTTTTGGTTTAATGAATAATAAATAATTATCATGTTGTATTCATTTAAACAGTTTAAACAACTTTTAAGCAGTAAATATAACGAAAAAAACAAATAATATTAAGACTCACAGTTGATTTATTATTAAAAATGGTAAAACTATAAAAAAATAATCAATTAAATAAATGAAACAATTTGTTTTTTAACAAGAATTAAATTAAATCGCGACAGAGTTATGTTAAAATCTGGTCATTGGAAACTGTATATTGATACAAGTGGTGTGTATTTAAACAACTAAAATACACGACTGAACATCAGGACATGCCAGTGACATACACTACTAATGTTGCCGAAGTGAAACAAACAATTGAAAACAACAGGAATGTTCTTGTCATTACTTTCCAGAGTGTGCAAAGTGCAAGGCAAGTGCGCCAATGATGGACAAACTTGCTGATGAGCAAACAAAAATCAAGTTCTTCAAAGTAGATGCGACTACAACAATGGATTATGCTGCTGAATACTTGATTGCATCACTTCCCACATTTGTTTTTTTTCCAAAATTAGAAAGTCATGAAAAAGGCGCCTGGCAGCTCTGAAGTACTTGAGGAGATTCTCAAAATGGTGCAGTAACTAATTCACTGCCTTTTTCATTGTTTATATTTTTTAATACAATATTATAAATGTATGTTATGTTTTAAATGGAAGTAATGTTGTATTCATACCAAAGTGTCAAGACTCAAAGTTTGATATTGAGTCTTGACAAATGGAATGTGTTGACGTGTCATGTTGTATAAAAGGAACTGATGTCAAAACAGTCATCAGCAAACATGGTGTTCAACTTGGAAATGTTTAGAAACGTTGCAACAAAACACAACACGCCGTTACAGAAGAAGGCAGTCAAAACAGTCACATACATCACACTAAACAAGCAAGACGATAAGAAACAGAAACGGTGGGCTTATCAAAATCTCAAGAACAAGAAACCAAAAGGAAAGAATCCAACACACATTGAAATACGCTCACAATTTGCTTTTATTTGATTGTCATTTAATTTGATTGTGTTGTGTTATTGTTGTTTTGTTTTAATAATTTAAATTTTTTAAAATATTATTAAATATAATAATATAAAATTGAAATAAACAAAAAAATAGTCAGACAGACTTCAGTGCCTCTCATCTCAGAGTGTTGTGCACGCACTTGACCCCTTAACAAGCAGTTCATCGTGCATTGCTGCGTATCTCCCTTTGGCACTGAAGTGATGAAAGTCTTCATCCTATTTTGTGAATTCTATTTGTTAAATAGAAAGTGACATACTCTAAGAATGATCCTAGTCGTACGGTCTAATTTTTATTTTTTCATTCTATATCTTTATAATAATTGCCAATTTTAAAAATTATGGGTTTGATTTTTATTTAATTATTGTTGATTAGTTTAATTTACTACTATTTATAATATCAATTTTATAGTTAATAACAAATAACAAAATACTATAAATTTTAATATAAAACTTTTAATATTTATGTAATTAATACTAGTAAATTAAACTATTACATTTTTTTTAATAACATATAATATTAATACAATTCATTGGAACAATGAAAATATGTAACCAATATATCTCTAGTGTTAAAAACAAATTTAAAAAAAAACAACCAAAAAGTAACTTAAATGTGAACATCAAGAATTTCCAAAGCTACAACCAATATTCTGAATAACCCACTTTTGTTCAAACAAACCTCGCATTCAGTGTCGCCTTGTTTGCATAACGTATTGTAAATGTCTTCTAAAATAAAAATTTCTCTTTATACTTATTGCATTTTCTTTTGTTAACATTGAATTCTTCAATGTTAACAAAAATGAATTCATTTTCGATTTTAACACACTTCATTTTTGTTTTTTCTTCTAACATTTTTGGTGTAACAAATTCTTGACAATCATTCGAATTTGTAAACTCTTTGCATCTCTTGCATATTTTCTCAGCACAAGCTTATAAATTTCTGGACAAAACAAAACTCACACGCTTTTTGATGGCTTCAATAACAAAGCATCATCATCATCTTTGCAAACAGTTCACTTGTTTTCTTTTATACATGTTTTGTAATTTTCAACACAAGTTGTACACACCTTTTCTTTGCAAAATACGCTTCTGGACAATCTTTTTTGTGAGTTTTGTCTGGTTGGAGATTGTCAGTTGTTCACGTGATACATTCAGTGTTGATGATTTGAAGTTTCAATAGACAACAATTGTATTTCATACAAATATGTTCCTTCATTAGTTAAATTGAATCTGTCGAGACTAACATTTTGAGTCTATGTCACACATCAAACAATTGCTTCCAGTTTTGCACTTCTTACATCTTGTTGTTTGCTCTTTGTAGTAACCAAAATAACGTTCAGTGGTTGTTACCATTTCCAGTGTTTTCAAACCAATATTTGTTTGTTGTCTAAAAGATGCATTTAGTCCCATGCAGTGTAATTGTGGCATT